CTTTTGCCCCCCCCCCCCCCCCGGTTTCTGCCATTTGTTTTGGGACCACTTTTACCCTGATCTTTTTCTGGAAGCTAGTTCTGAGTCACCTTTTTCCTCGCGTGTAATGTTTCTGTTGGTTTTCTTTGTTCTCTCCACTCCCATGCACCTCCAGCCCATTTTTCAATGACTGCACTATCATCATTGAACTACACGTAAAAGCATACACTATCATCATTGAACTACACGTAAAAGCATAAAAGTCCTGATGGATCAGACCAGTGGCCCGTCTAATCCAGGATCCTGCCTCTCATGGTGGCCAACCAGTTCCTCTGGAAGCCCAACAACAGGGATTAGAGGCTGAGTCCTTCCCCTGTTGTTGCCTCCTGACAAGTTTCCTGCCTCTGGACATTGAGGTTCCCTTCAGCCACCATGGCTAGTAGCCACTGATAAACCTATCCTCCATGAGTTTGTCTAATCCCCTTTTATGCTTGTGGCCATCACTTTATCTTCTGGCAGCAAATTCCACATTTTAAATACTTGCTGTGTAAAGAAGTAGTTCATTTTGTCTATCCTGAATAACTCCCTCCTCCCTCCTGGTGGTTTCATTTTTCTTTTTTAAAAGACACTGAAATATCAGTATATCAGTATACTGTTGTAATGATAGGTCAAGCAGGTTCTGAATTCCTGTCTGTCTGTCTGTCTGTCTGTCTGTCTGTGAGGGAAGGGCATAGAGACTTACCTTTTTAAAAAAAAATGAAAGCTGGTTTTAGTGCTGGTTTTTAAGAAATGCAGCCATTATATTGATATACCAATATAAGCATGTGCAAAAAATAAAGGATGGGGCTGTGATGCCACTGATACTATCATCATTGAACCACACATAAAAGCATAAAAGTTCTGTTGGATCAGACCAGTGGCCCATGTAATCCAAGATCCTGCCTCTTATGGTGGCCAACCAGTTCCTCTGGAGGCCCATGCATGGAATAAACTAACTCCACGACTGTGAAAATGCAGAGGGAGGGCATACTGTTTTGGCAGACAAAACTGAGCCCTTTCCCTCCCTAAACTTTAGCTCCGGAAAAGACAGACATTATTTTTCCTGGGATAACAACTGGCAAGCAGGTCAGGGAGATCAGTTTCAATCCATAGAATCATGTTGGATGGGAAAGGGTTAAATGCCTTCTTCCCCCACATTGTGGTCCCAGCGGTTATTTCCTGCGGGAGCGCACAGGAGCAGAGCTCCGGCAGTAAAGAGCCCAGGGGGCAGGCACATGCAACAAGCCCATCCTGAATAACTCCCTCTCCTCCCTCCTGGTGGTTTCATTTTTGTTTTTTAAAAGACACTGAAATATCAATTTATCAGTATACTGTTGTAATGATACGTCAAGCAGGTTCTGAATTCCTGTCTGTCTCTGTCTGTCTGTCTGTCTGTCTGTGAGGGAAGGGCATAGAGCGGTGGGTGTTGCCTTCTGACACACTTCCGGTGATGTCAGGGGGTATGGTGTATGCAAATAAGTTATGCTAATGAGCTCCTGCACCTCTTT